CCAGAAAGAAATGATAAGTGTATGACACAGTCAACATGGTAAGTACCCTCATTTGATATTTGCACAATGTATACATGTAACAAAGTATGATATTGCACCTCATAAATGTGTACGATTATTATGTGTCAATTAAATTTTTTGTAAAGTTTATGACTTTTAGATGGCAAAGAAGGACACTATGGTACCATCTTGCTATAAATCTCAAATAATGTATTTTAAAAATTATAAATTTATGTGAGTTAACATGGTATAAAATGTCAAACATGTGAACATAATGAAACTTTTAAATATAAACAGTTTAAAAATGAACACAAATATGTAGCACTATCACCACATATTAAGGTATATGGGAAATCTTACCAATGTACAACTTAAGTGTACTTATATACATACACATGTCAAATTCATGTAATTTTATTGATTTACTAATTAATGTCACACCTTAACAGAAAATGAAGTCTTAATTATAATCTACATCTCTCTACTGCAATGAAAACTATACATTGAATTAGTGTGATAGAACTGAAAAGGTATTTATAAAACACTAAACAGGGATGAACAGCCCCATCTATAATTACTGCACTCATTAGTCAACAAAGAAAGTAGATTAAAAACTCTGTGTAAAACATGTACCAGAAAAATTATACACTGGTCATTGTGGTATTGCTTGTAATACCAGCATGTGGAAAGCAGAAAGATCTGTGTTCAAGGACAACCTGCACTAATTAGTGAGTTAAAACCCAGTCTAAAACACAGCGGAATTCTGTCTCATAAAACCAAAGCCTGAGGATTTAAGTGGTTTAACACTTGGCTAGTATGCATAAGATCCATGGTCCATACCAAGTATTGCACAAAAGGAAAGAGAAAAATATTGCAGTTAAAAATGTATTCACTGACATTTAAACATATATAACGATAGTGGTAAGGAAGGTCCATGTGTAATGTAAGTTGCATGCAGTGGAGCAGACTCAATGCTCAGAAATTCATGTTGTGTGGTTGGCCTGAGGGGTCAGGAAATCAGCCACAATTAATTCTTCGCTTCTATACCGTTTAATTGCATGCACTCCCTCCTGGGATCTGAATGACAGTAAAATAGCTGGTCTAATGAGGAGCTTTGGATATTGAGCACCAGGGATGAAGGGAGTACAGGAGTTGACATGTATTCCTCTCATTCAACAGCATTGTCCATTCAGGAAGACACATGTGAGCTTCCACTCAGACATTATCCTTCCTGCCTAGGATTCTGTTGTCTCAAGTGGTGAGTCTATCTATCCTGAGACTAGAGCTACTGTCTTCAACATTCAGATGAGATGCTGAGCACCATTGCTAGTGAAGACAACCAGGTAACTCACAATCCCATATTAAATGTTTTGAAAATGAGAGCAGATGTTCTAAGAGATTTCATGCTGGTGAAGCAATGAGGAGAGGGAGAAGAGGACATGCATGACATTATATGAAACAAGTCTCATGCTTCTCTGTAAGCTGTGTGTTATTCTTTTGACAAATTCTTATTTATATAGGCCCCAACACTCACCAAGCTGTCATTACACTGGCCTCATATTCTATATATTTCCATTAATTTTTATTAGGATATATTTATTGTACAAGGGGATTCATTGTGACAATTCCAAATAGGCTTATATTGTACATTGATTAGATTACCTACTGTCTTTCTCCCTTGAATCCCTTCCCATTCCATTTACAACTATTGCAAGAGGTTTCTTTGTTCTATTTTGTATAAGTACATGATGCCCTCATACTCTCAACAAGAGCATGGCCCATTTCTTTAAGAGCAGAAATCTGCATTCCTCAACCATGATGACTGTTTACAAATACTCTCATACTTACATATCATTTTCAAAGAATATTTGTACTATCATTGCAATGGGGATGTGAAGACTATGGGGAAGGAGGCAGAGATGCAGAAATCCTCACCAGAAAGCTTCCTAATCCCCATGTTTTGCTTCCTAAAAATACCAAATATTTTAAACAGGAGCAGCACAGCAGAGAGTGCAATTGCAAGCAATAATAACAACATATGACCATACCTCTCTCCTACTACCACTTTTTAAAGTGGGAATTCTGCTCTGTCTCATGTCTTTTTAATGAAATAACAAAATAATAAGCATGAAGGAATAACAACATTGTTATTCACTACATTGCACTTCTAATAATCCCAGAGACATGCTATGTTGAATATGATGTGGTTTGCCATTCATGACTTGGTATTACATATGTGGTCATAAATAAAAGGCAGCAACTGCAGCAGCGATCACTCAGGAGATAAAGAATTGAATTGTTTTCTGACAGTAGGCTGGAATACTGTGGCAGTTATGATGAATGAAAGAGCACTAGATATATCAAAATTAACTTAAAAAATACCTGAGAATACCAATTATAAATGACATATACAGTATGTTTCAGCTTGTTTGAAATATTTGCTGTACACTCTAATACAAATGCATTGCTTGGACGAATACTATCAAATATAATTAAATTGCGGGAGAATAATATATATCATGGCAACACAGTATTTTACTGCTGGTTTGTGCAGATACATGAGATGAGGTAAGTCAGATGTTCCTCTATTATATTTTTGCAATGAATGTAACTAAAACAAAGATGGTGAATTATGTAAATGTTTTACTATGGACTCTGTGGTAGCATCCCTCCTTTGTTCCCAGTACTTTCTCTTAAGCATGCATAGTTCATAATTGTGCAGGTTCAAAAATACTTCTTTTCATGTAAGTTTTTTTCTAATTTAGGAATTCATAATTTGTGTAGCATTTTCTAATTTATGTAGTATTTAATTCACTTTCATTGGAATTCATATTATCATAGGTCTGAGACTAATGAATATTTTAATCATTGGTGAATCTTTACTTTTATACATGACCACATTTTCCAAGAGTAGATTCATTCCAGATTCATTCTTAAAATTTTCACTCATCAAGCTAAAATTTCTCTTTCTTTCATTTTTTCATCCACCCTTGCTTACCACTTCCTTCTGAGTAGTGAAAAGTACCATGTGTTATTGCTCAGCGAAGACATACACCTCCCTCTCCCTCTCCCTCTCCCTCTCCTTCTCTATCTCACTTTCCCTCTCTCTCTCCCTCTCCCTCACCCCTCTCTCTCTTCTCTTTCTCTCTCTCTCTCTCACACACACACAGATAGACACACATACACAAACACACACATACATACACACACACCACAAGCAGAAGATAGGCAGTATCAGAACAAGAATCACATATACCCAGCTTTGAGTTGGCTGCTTATTCTCTGTATATTTCATACCATCGAACATCGTCATTAGGACTCCCAACTGTATTCAGATACATAAATGTAAACTTTTATGAAACTCAATGTGATGTTTGTAGAAGTATAGTTCTTGAAATGAGTCTCTCACAACAGCTAATATTCTTATCAACTGAGGAGCTCCCAAAAAGGAAATGAGGGCACCAGGCTCCATATCCAGTTGAAGATTTTTCCCATTCATAAAACTAATGAAGAAACTTAGTCTAAATTCACGGTGTCTGAGGCTAATCTTAACACCAAATCTGACACTGATTCATAAGAAGAAGACCAGTGCCCCTATGGATATTACTAGTACTACACTTGAATATTTAAGTGTGGTATCTTATAAATCTCTCTCTTCCAAAGACACTCATATTGTTTTAATTTCTGCTTTCTATGGAGCCCTGTACTTCTTTTGAATATTTGTTTGTTTGCTATATTTAATGATCCACTACATATCTTTAAAGAAAAAGTTCAATAAGGTTGAGATAGAGTGCCACCCACATTAGCACAATGCTTCTCTTAGAATTTGCTAAAGCAGTTTGCTTTTTTTTTCCCAAGATGTTTGTAAGCTTCACGTTTATAAGCAGGGTTTTCTAATTATCATTATACCCACCTGAATGAAAGCTCCCTACATGCTTTAATTAACTTAATAAGTGTGCATATCTCAAAAGCAAAGAAAACCTTGGGACTATGTTCAGGAAGATGTGATGAAGTCATAAAAGAGAATTATGAGACCTTCATAATGACTAAGGAGTGAAAATTCTGTAACATCTTGAGGTATTAGGGAGCATTTTTCAGAGTCAAGTCATAAGTTGTACGTTGAGATCTCTTAGCCTGTCTCTCCCAACTCTGTACTTTGTGTTTATGATACATCCTCATGGTTACATGGAACTGATGGCATGGGCTATTTCTTCTGTAACTTGACAAATACTTCAAATGATTCTGAGAAATGCCAATTTGGGACCTTTCCTCTAGCAAATAGATTTGAGAAATTCATTTTTATGTTTTATTTGAAACTATGAACTAGTTCATATGGAAAATTCATTTAATATTTTTTGTTACCAGGTCCTACTTTGCTATGATAGGTGTAAAAGTGTTGATGCTGAGTAAAGGTAATGGGAATTAGGTGATAGGAGTGGGATAATTAGATGAGAGGAACAAAGGGAGAATATAGGCAAAGATTTAAATATTCATATCATTCACAAATAAATAAGAAAAATTATATTTATAAAGCAAGTACTATTTTCCCATCTTTAGAGACAGCAAATTCACTGGGAAAGTTTTTTAAAAGGTACATTGATGATTATCATACCTAGAGCATATCAATGTAAGTCCATAAAACTGTACAGGCTATTTCATTAATTTATATTATACTCATTTTATATATATACATATATATATATATGTATATATATATATATATATATATATATATATATATATAAACTATCACACCTCTGTGATGTGGTATTGCTTGTAGATAAAATTTTTGCTTTTTTTGGCAGTGCTGTAGTTTTAACTCAGGGACTCATGCTTAACAAGCATGTGATCTACCACTTGATCCCTAACCCATTTTTGGTTTAGATATGTTTGTAGTATAGCTTCCTGTTTTTGCCCAGACAACAATCCTCCTACTTATCCTTCTCAAATTGATGGGTTTACAGGCATGGACCACCATATCAGGACTTCACCTCATTTTTCATCCCATCTTTTCTGTAATATTCAGCAGGAACATGAAAACCACAAATCAAACAAGTGTTTCTGAATTCACTCTTCTGGGACTGACAGATGATCCAGAAATGCAGCCACTCATCTTCAGCCTGTTTCTGTCCATGTACATGGTCACCATCGTGGGGAACCTTCTCATCATCCTGGCTGTCAGCTCTGACTCCCATCTCCACACCCCCATGTACTTCTTCCTCTCTGGTCTGTCCTTCACTGACATCTTTATAAGCACCACCACGATCCCAAAGATGCTGATGAATATCCAAGTCCAGACACACAACATCACTTACACAGGATGCCTCTCCCAGGTCTGCTTTGTCTTAATTTTTGGTGGTTTAGAAAGTTGTGTCCTTGCAGTGATGGCCTATGATCGCTATGTGGCCATTTGTCACCCTCTGAGGTACACAGTCATCATGAACCCCTGTTTCTGTAGACTGCTCATTCTACTCTCCATACTCATTACTACTGCAAATGCCCTACTCCACAGTCTGATGTTACTGAGGCTGTCCTTTTGTAGAGACCTGGAAATTCCCCACTTCTTTTGTGAACTTGTTCAGGTCATGAAGATGGCCTGTTCTGATACCTTTGTTAATAACCTCCTTATATACACAGTTACTAGTGTATTTGCTGGTGTTCCTCTTTCTGGGATTATTTTTTCATATATTCAAATTATTTCCTCTATTTTGAGGATTCCAACTGTAGGAGGAAGATATAAAGCTTTTTCCACCTGTGGGTCTCACCTCTCAGTAGTGTCCTTATTCTATGGAACAGCTTTTGGAGTGTACATGAGTTCTGCAGTTACTGACTCTTCCACCAAAAACATTGTGGCTTCAATGATGTATATTGTGGTTCCTCAAATGCTAAACCCATTTATCTACAGTTTGAGGAACAAGGAAATGAAGGGAGCCTTGTGTCATCTCATCCTCAGGCTGTGATTTGGCCATGTCTATGGCCTTTGGTTTCTAGCATAGTTAAGATGATAGAAATATAAATGAAATAAAATACCATCAGCAATTTCATACAAAAGTGATAGCATGATATGATTTCTCATTTTATTTCATTTTATTTCAATGTGAGCTTTAAATCTTGCCTTGATTTTTGTCCAGCTCTGTGATATTTCACAAATGATTTCAATCTCCACTGTCTGTTTCATTGCTCTAATCCCTGTGAGGAAGAACCAGATATGATGGTTTATTTTAATAAAATTTCAGGAATCTGTGTCTAAGGAACTAATTTTGTAGAAGGTGCCAGGACATGGGAGGGTGTAAGCAAAATCAAGATAATATCTAGAGTAAATTCAGGTTGACCTCATAGTTAAGAACAAGATGGTAGCAACCCACATATAAACCTCAAAAGAAGTGAGTTTTCATAGTCTACTAAATACTGAAATGTTCCCTTGAAACTGTATCCTTATGAGGTCACGTTAGCTTCAATTCTACTCATTTTATTATTTTTAAAAGTCACATAATTTGATTATCTTAGTAGACTAAGACTGTGATAAATATACTTTTCTTTAGTAAAGATGCTGTCAGCTCTCAAAAAACAAAAAGAGTGACTCTACTATACTGAGAAAATAAACAGAATTACTTTATCATTACAAGAACTTGAAATTTTCATAACATAATTCAGACTAGTTTTCATGAGTCCAAGATATGGTAACATCTTTCTAGGACTTGTAGTAAGACTCAATGTTTCCTGGTGCAATTGCCATACATGGATATGATTACAGAGATAACAAAGTACATGCACTCTGCTTAATTCATTGTAACAACCCTTTCCTTGGAGTTACATAGAAAAAAATCTCTGGCATGGTTTGAATGGTTTCCCCCAAAATGATACTTCCAAATCAAAATTCTTCCTGCTTGTAAATAGGTCTTCAAATAAAAGAAGATAAATTGTACTTATGAATAAATGGGATCTTTTCAGAGGAGAAGTTTATCCCAGATTATCTGATTGGATACTGAATTTGAGTCCACATAATCAGAGACAGAGAGAGAGAGAGAGAGAGAGAGAGAGAGAGAGAGAGAGAGAGATTGAATAAATTGAATACGTTTTTCATTGTCAGTACTGCAAAATTTGTCTAAAAACCCATTTTAAGAAATCTAATGCATTAATATCACGGGTTTATGTATTTTTGTAGAGTTCATTATATCAATTTGCTTTGTTTTGAACTTGATATAATTTAATGGTAATGAATGAGTTTTGTATTAGAATTGTATATTCTTCTTGGGTTTTTTTGTTCCTGTAAAATCTACTTTATTATGAAGTGTGAATAATATTTAAATGGTTTGACTTAGAATTATCTTCTTTCTTTTATTTTAATGGGACAAAATCTGTGGTTTCATTAGGACAACTATGTATATGCACATGATGAACTTTGATAATATTCATCACCTCTATTTGCCTTTTTTATCTTCTCTTCCTGTCCTCCTCCCCCTTCCACTTCCCAAATAGTCCTCCTTTTATGTACATGTCCCCCCCCCCTAAATTCTCCATGCATGTGAAACTTGCTTTTCAAGACTGGTTTATTTTACTTATGATGATCTCCCTTTTGGTCTACTTTTCTGTGAATAACATAATTTCATTATTATTTAGGATTGAGAAAATTTCATATACAAAAATATTCATTCCTTCATCCATAGATGGGTACCTAGGCTGATTCCATAGCTTGGCTATTGTGAATAGAGTAGCAATAAACCTGGGAAGGCAGATATCTAAACAGTAATCCGACTTTAATTCTTTTTAATATATACATAGCAGTGTATAATTAGATCATACTGAAGTTCTAGTTTTCATATTTTGAGGAAATTCCATACTGTTTTGCATAGTGGCTGTACTAATTTACATTCCCATTAACAGTGTATAAGGGTTTCCTTTTCTGAAAAACTCACCAACATTTGTTTGTTTTATTTCTCCTTCATTATAAACACTCTAGTGGAGGTAAGATAGAAACTCAAAATTATTTTGAATAATATTTCTTTTATGCCTAAAAAGTGTGAATAATATATTCATGCATCTCTTGCTATGTATACTTCCTATGAGACTGATCTGTTCAATCCATCTGCCAATTAATTAAATGGATCATTCATTCTTTTAGAGTTTAGTTTACTAAGCTTTGTATAGATTCTGGATAGATAATCCCTTTTCTGAGGAAAAGTTGGCAAAAAATTTTCTGCCATTTTGTCAGCTGTGCTCATTCTGGTTATTCTTTCTTTAACGTACATCAGCTTTTTATTTGATGTGACCCCATTGGTCAATTTTCCTCTTTTTTCTTAAGCTTTTAGAGTGCTATTCAGAAAGCTGTTGCACATTCACATAACTTGAAGTATTTCCACTATGTTTTATGTAGTAGTTTCAAAGTTTCAGTCTTTCCGTATGGTCTTTGGTCCTTTTGTGTTATTTTGTAGCAGTTGTGAGATAGGGATCTAGTTTCAGTATTTAACCTGTTCCAGTTTCAATAGGATCACCTGCTAAAGAGGAACCTCTATACTATTTTGCATATTAGCTGCCCAAATAGGTTTGTTAAAGAGGCTTTCTTTGTTACAAGGTATTTTTCAGCACCTTTGTCAAAAACAAGGTAGCTGTACTTACGTGGAATTCTGTCTGGAACTTCTATCAGTTGGTTTATGTTGCCTCCCCCCCTTTTTATATTTTTTTTCCTAGTGTGTGTTCACTTTATTACTTTGTCTCTGGAAATTAATTCTTTACTATAATAAGCTTTACCCTTGTGTTTTGAGTGTTAAGAGGATGCTCACAATCTTTCTTTTAATATTGTATAACATCACAATATTCATCCATAATCTTAAAATCTACATTACATTTATCTAAAGGGATTCTATAGTCTTGAGTTACACTTGAAGTCTGTTATAATTGTACCAATGACGAATAAAGCCATATTTTATGTGCTCTTTCACATGTATTCTGTCTTTTCCATACATGGAAATACAAATAAAATCAACCTCAATGTTGAATTAGATGGCAGGGAAGGTGGGGAAGTGAGTGAATGAAGTGATCCTGAATTTGATCACTGTAGACCTGTGAAGTAATACCAGATTGGCCTCATTAATGTGGGTGTATGTGCAAGTGTGTGTTTCTGTGTTATAAAAAGTAAAATTTTAAAAACCTCTGAGAGTCTTTGTTTCTATTTCCTTTGAGGGAGACAAGAAATGTTTCTCTTTCTTTCCATCACTTCTTCCTACTTTATCTTGCTATAGTAAAATAAATTTTTGTCAAACTTTTCAAAAATACCCTCTGAATGTCACGTCTTGTTCTAGTATAAGCCTTATTTTCTGCTCCCATTTATTGAGAAATTTCTCAAAATAGATCTCTGCATTGACCACCTCCTCAAATTCTCTTTTCATTTTCTTCTGAGTTCAATCCATTAAACGTTTGCTGAAGCACTCAGTAGTTTTTCTTGAAGATCCTTCAAAGTTCTCTCTATCATGCTGACATGGATTAAATCACCCATCATTGTCTTACCTAACATGTCCTAAAAGTGAATCAGTTTATTGTTTCCCAGATCATTTTCTTCCCTTAGCATTCAGCATCACATAATATTTGGTTTTACTCAACCCCATTTCCTACCCCTTCTCACTGGTCATTGGTATGTCTCCCTAATTTTCCCGACATGCAAACACTGGATTATCTCTAGGCCCAGTCCGAATTCGTATGATGAGCTCTACCTGTCATCATTCTTTTTGCAGTATGATCAGACATCATAGATTTCCCGATTTTCCACATTCCAACAATTCCCAAATTTATTTCTAAAGATAAATTATCCCTGGAATTCCAAAAGTATATACCAAATTAAAGCTTTGACATGCCTAAGTGAAAGAATAATAAAAATATCCAATTTAATACTTCTATAGCAAACCTCATTATATTAATTCTACAATAAACAATACACAAAATCTTTCTTGTCACAATTGATGGAAACTTTATTTTTAAGATAGTGACAAGTTTTTCTTCTTGGGAATGACCAGTAATTTCTCTCTTTCATTTGTACTCTCTGCATAATCATTCAGTAAACTATGTTGTCTCAAGCTTCAAAATATACCCAAAATTAAGCCAAATACCATCACCTCCACCTTTACCACCATGACCTAAGTTACCATAAGTTTAGGTTTACTCAAATGCAGTAAGAACTGTCCTGTCACCCATCTTCTCTGTCATCAGTAGGCCATTGAATGATCTGCCTGACACTACCTTTTTCATCTCCTCTTTTTTCTTTTCTCCATTGCTCATTCTATTATAACCCAGCTGACTCAATTACATTATGAGTATTTGTTTTAAGGATTCTGTCTGCTATTTCTTAAATGATTCTCTTCTGCGTCATGAGAAATACAATTGCCCTTATGATGGTATTAATAGGTAGGGCCTTTACAAGTTGATTTGGAATTAATACTGCCATATATAAAGATCATGAGTTTCTCATCTGCCATGTGAAAAATACCACTTTTCTACTCTGAGGGATGCAGCATCCATGGCACCATCTTCAAGGTGTAGACCAGAAATTCTTTTAGGCACTGATAATGTCATCACCTTGGTAGTGTACTTTTCAGCCTTCAGAATTATAAGCCAATAACGTTGTGCTCTTTATAAATTACCTAGAATGTGTTATTAAATAGCACAATAGCAACAATATGCTGATACTGCATTACTTTTTTCCTGGATATCTAATTCATTAGCATCTTTTACTTGAATAAGAATGTTTTCCCTCTTTCTTTCTATTCACTCTTTCACTAATTCTCATCTAGTAGGTTCCCATTGTTTTTACCCATCACTTTTCAGTTCTGTAATCCTGAATTCAATGTGTTGATCCATATGTTGTCATTTAAAAAATATCATAATCTAGCCGCCAACAAGTCAGCAGGTGGATGGGAGAATTTACACCTTGATTCTTCTTGTGCATCTTCAGGTATTCTAAGTTCACATT